GACCGCACGCCGGCTGGCGGCCGCGCCTTCCCAACCAAAGCGCCCCCCATGCCGCATCTTGTCTAGCGCCGTACGAACACCAGAATGGTTTTGCACGTGCCTTTCGCTTCTTTTGTATGAGGGGCTTCGCCGCGGCCCAGCAAAAAAAACCCGGGGGTCCGCGGGCGCGGCGGAAAACACACCGCCCGAATGCGGGTGCCGCGGGGCAAGGCGTTGGTGAAAACATCGCTCCTCTTCCGCGCCCAAGCGCAACGTCGCCAAAAAGAAGTAGCAAATCCTTAGTCTCAGGGCTGGGCGCTTCTTTGGTGCCGCCGCCGGGGTGGGGTGGTTAGCGGTGCGGGGGTTTGCCCTGCTTCATCCGATGCAAGCAGGGCGGCGGGAAAATGGGGGGCAACGCCGAAAGTAGGGCCAAGCACCCGCGCGCCGTCAAACTTGAGCCAAGAGAGAGTGCGAGGAACAACCCCAGGGGAGCCACCGCCCCAAAGAGCGGACCCCTCTCGGTGAAACAGCAAGGAAGGCTGGCGGGTAACAACGGAAAAAAGAAGATCGTTGCCGCTAAAAACCGACCCGCCTCCCCCCTCCTAGCGCTCCGGCGCCAATGGGGTGGGGCTCTTGCGGGAAACCAGAAAAGAGACCCGCCCCTGCCTGGCCATTTAGCGCAGAAGCGGGGCGGAGCCTCCCCGCTTAGGCCCCATGACGGGCCCTGCAGCAGCGCAACGCGCGCGGCGCTGCAAGCACCTTAATCGTTTCTTTACGAATGGAATAATGCCTTCCAACGAAGTATCAGAGAATTTAGTGGTGTTAGGGTCCTTCCCGTTGGCGCGGGCCACCACCTGACAACCGTCATCGCACACAAGAGGCCTTCCGGCGGGACATTGTCAGCGATGGCATCGAGTCTCCTTTTGATACGCCTAGCGGCGCTCATTCTCACCGTGGCCGCGCCGAAGGCTAGGACGTGTGTGTGTGTGTGAGAGTTAACGCCCCGGAGCGATAGGAGAAGGGTTTGCACATGTGGAGTTGATCCGTTTTTCCAGCGGTTTTACAGAAGAAGAAATTGTTTGCGACAGTGCCGCGTCACACATCCGGTCACATCGGGCGAATAAATTTTCCCCAAGTGGAGGAGGAACCTCAATTGATTTGTCAGTGCGGGAGTGGCTGCGCCCGATTGGTGGGAATGATGAAATGACATTCGCCCCATCCACGCGAATAAAGGTGTGGTAAAGTTCAACCAGCAGAAAGAAGGTGCCAGTCCAAATTCTATCATTACCCTTACTGGGTGGAAACTCTGCTTGTGGGGTGTCGATAGTTACAGCGTTGGCGCTTGGGAGGCGTAGGCGCAAGCGCACCTTGCTCTTGTGCGGTGTTTCACCGCCTCGATGCCTTCATTTGCCTCCCCGCCCGCCGCCGCATTAAAGGCGACAACGCATGGTGTTAGCGACTCGTTCGTGCTTAAAACAACGCTTTCTGCTGCAACGCTTGGGCGAAGCAAACATACAAAACAGGTGCTTACGATAAAGCTTTGTTTATTGGCCCTTTTTCGTATTGGATAAAATATGCCTTCGTTAGGCGGAGGCAAGAAAAGAGGACAAACAACAACAAAAATAAGAGTCAGCAGCGGAGGCAAAGAAGCAACAATACCAACGCGAGGCTGCTGCTGCCGCTGCTGAGTGGCGGTGGCGCAAGGGACCGCGGGCCGTACGAACGGAGAACCCAAGGAATTCTTCAGCCGTACGAATAAGCTTAGAAAGAAACGACACACATTTGCCTGAGTGTTATTGGCATTTCTCTCTAAGCCTTAGGAACGTTTCTTCCGTTCGGCATTCTCCTCCACTTTCCTTCGAAACCCCAATGCCCGCGAGGTTTGCGCATCGATGCCCTGCATGACAATGTGGTATTCGTTTTGCAGCCACGGCGCTGTGAACGCCACTGTCACCAAAAGGGAAATCGCGAGCGTCGCCTTGACGGCAAGGATGGCCCAAGCATCCTCTTCGTTTCCCGTTAACCGCATCGCCTGGTAAAAACTCACGAGAAAGGGCGGCAACGAAGCCACACTCCCGATCATGTAGTGACGCGAAGTGAAGAGGATGTGAATAAGCAAGGAGGAAATACCCCAGTATTGGAGAACGTAGAGGAACACCGTGGAGTTTAGTAAGCCATCGGGTGTGGTCGACACCCGCTCCGCCCACGTTGGGTCGTCAGAGGCCAACTGCATAAGCTGAAACACGAGAGTTGCCAGACAAAGCAAGAGCCATACGGTAAGAAATGCCGAGAATAGTGGCGGATTGAACCTCGACGCAAACAGGAGTGCACGCGAACTGTGAAGGTTGGCGGCGTACCGACGGGCCAGTCCGGGGCCCTGTTTGGCCGTTCGCCCGCGGCCAATAAAGGGAATCAGCGTAAATGCAAGGCATGTGGCGAGTGTCACCCCCCCCGCAGGCACAAGGAGTAGCAGGTTCGCCTCCAGATTTCGCCACTCCATATAACTCACTGCCGTCTTTCTGTCATGCGTCTGTTGCCACGCGCGCAGCTGCTGCTCCACATCCGGGGCGCCGCGGCTCATCCCCAGCAAAATGCCGTTGTTTCCAGCAACACTGAACGAAGGTTCTCTCTCTCTCTCTCTCCCCCTCGCTTTCTCTTTCTTGCGCCGCCTTGCTTTGCTCCTGAAACTCCAATGGTGTAGACTTGCCTTTGCGCAGAGCAAAAAATGCCAATGACGTAAAGTTTCGCCTTTCTCTAGCTTACAAGAAATAAAGAAATAGCGGACGGGTGCGAGTGGTGACCGCCTCCCGAAAAACAACAACAACACACACGCGCACATAGAGCGAGAAAGCGAGAAAGCGAGAAAGCGAGAGAGAGAAAGAGAGAGAAGGACAGTCGAGATCTCTGTGAGCACACATGATATTGTTTGTTCCTTGATTTTTCTCCTTCCTGCCTGCGTTCGCGCCGTTTATAAACTTCACGTGTGCACACAGGCGCGTATGTACCCGCGCGTCGCTCCAAGACAAGGCGTGCTACAGAAGCAACGGTGATAGGCAGAGACCCAGCCAGACACTGCCACTTTCCCCATCCTTGTCTTTCACACCCGCCCCAACGTTGAATAGTCGATCCGTCATTTCGTCCACACACATAATACCATACGACGGTGATCGCACAAATCCTTCCTCCTCTTCCTCCGGCGCGGCACTGTTTTTGGCGCAAGTTGTGCCTCCCCAATCCTCCATATATCCGTAGACGCGGATCTTCCTGTAATCCTCCCACCCTACCCGCATCGCCTCGCGCATCATGGCGTCATTTCCAATAAGCCGAATGACAAACAACGCGGCCACGCGCAAGTATTTGTGGACATCTTGATGCAACATTGCCAGCACTACGGAGGGGTCTGGAGTAATCTGAAGCAGTCTTGTAACGTGGCAAATAAATGGTTCAGGCCTCCGCAGGGGTCCACTCAGGCCACCCACACACCGCAGCGTTATAAGAGCCTCTATTGTTGCTAGCAGTGGTTTATGAACGCAAGAGGTCATAGCATGCGATTGCAGAATGCGGTGGCGCGTGAGTGGATCAAGCGCAGCCACCGCACTACGCCCTTTTAAATTCCACGCCATTCGTTTTTGGCCCTCCATTGACCTCACAAGTCTACACTACGTGCTCGCAAATACAAAAGCAAAACGTGCATAATAAAAAAGGACACATGAATGTAGCTCAAGCACCCAGCAGTGAGAGAATAGATGGATAAAAAAACAACAACAACAAAGGGAAATGAAAATAAAGGTCCAAAGCGGCCTACAACACCTTTGGCGCACTCTACAAATCCAGCTGTGGTAGTCGCACATCTCAAACGTTTTTACCAAAATGGCCTGACTGCCAACCACAGCACAAGCGGTGCCTGCAGAAATGCGGCACCGTACGCCAGCAGCCTCGCGTTTGACGGGGTCCGTCCTTCGCATGCATACATTCGCGTTATATTCTTAATCACAAAAACGCCGTTGGCAAACAAGATATAGGACACCATAAAACCTACATAGTAGGGATCACTTTCAAACTGTAGGAGTTCCCGCAAAAACACAATAATGGACACCGTAAGATACTTGTATCCAGTCAAAGCCATCAGGTCCAAAACCTTCATTTCTGGCACAAGTCTAAAGATATAGCTTGCCATTTTGAGTGCAAAAACCTCAACCAAAAACCAGAATACTACTGCTGAAGCAATACCCAAGAGTTCTTCATTCGTCACGCGGTAGTGATGCAGTCCATGCACAAATCCAGAAAGGATGATGTACGTGATGGCACCCATGAGAGGCAGATAAAGGTCTAATGCGTACACGTCATTTATGGGTAAGGCGGCCAGTGTAGTTGGATACGGACGACCCACAGTTGAGGCGGGTGAATAGGGCACTGCATCTCCCCCAAAGCCCGTAGCTCCTCCATTGCCCTCCTGCTCCGCGCCGGATCCATGTGGAAAGCTCTCAAATCGTCGAGTGAAGGGGAAGAGTAGAATTGACAGCTTTTTCTTTACATAATTATTATCCACACGGAAATAGCGGTGAACATTGGAAATGACAGGCAAGTGTTGCATAAACCGCTTCTCGCCTCCCTGAAGCATGCTCTGACCATACTGCAGCCCCATCTGAAGCATCATGCCATGTTGGTCGCCACCCCACGAGGTCGGAAAATTCGCCGGATGTGGCTGCTGAGGTGAGACGTGCGGGGAGAAGGCAGACATGCCGCGCGTACTCCTTGCGGTGTACCCTCCTTTCGCCCTTCTGCTCTTCCTTCTCTTTGGTTCGTCCTTATGTCTGTAGTCGTGCACGCGGCACTGGGAAAGCTACCTTCTCGATGCGTCAGCCAGAAAGAACGAAAACAAACAAACAGACAAACAAAGCAAAAAAAAAAACAAATACCTTTTCTTTCACTAATGGAAAAGATAAGCAAAAGTCAGAAATAGTTTAAAATACGTATGCAAGCCAAAGAAGGAACTCATGCAGACCCTCCATGCTTCTCTCCATCTTTTGCTCACAGAAACAACGCACAACATCGGTGCGTGCGCCGCTTCCACATAAGACGCATTATTATTATTATTTTTTACTTCTTTCGATTCAGCCCACACACCGACACCTTTCCCCACTGCACGCTTTTCCTTTTGCTTTTATGTGTGCAGGAAACTGTGCGTCAGTTACTTTCTTAAATTCCCTCTAGACGCAGGCAAGAATGGGCTTATTTGTGTTTATTCATACTGCATAGATACTTATATCGTTCAAAGCATTCCTTGGCATTTTTGCCATCCACCATCGCTGCAATCTTCTGAAACTTATCCCTTTCCTTGTAGTCCTTTAATTCCCGTAGCCCCTGCTCCAACATTTTTTGTTGCTTCACCGTCCAGTCCTCTATAGATGAAACCTGGGTAGCCACCGCCGCCGCACCCGCAAAGGCACCTTTGGCTACATCTAACTTTGAGGCTGACGGTTGCAGTGAGGTACTTGGGGTTCGGTTCTGGGTGGTATTTGCATGATGTAGTGCAGCTGTAATTTCATTCACCTTCCGCATCGCCTCTTCCTCGGTGAACTTACCACGCAGCATTTCGGCAATCTTCCTCCAACGGTCCACCGCTCCAGGTGGGTACTTCGCGGTCGCCTTCTGCAAGCGAACCAGGTCCTCCTCGTCCCAGTTTGTTGTCAAGGCGGTAGGGATGGCCGCCTTCTTGGTCACCTCAGGCGCAGTCGTGGAGGCGGCTGGGCACTTCTTGATGGGCTCGCCGTAGCGCGTCACCCCAATTTGCTGCTCGCGTTCCTCAACAAGAGCGTTGAAGCGTAGCACCGCCTCCACGCTTACCCCCTCGTCGCCATCGTAGTCAGGCCTGTTGTTACCCTTGATTCGGCACCCCACGGTGGCGGGACGCCGCTCTGTACTGCAACTTGTCACAGCCGCGAGGATGCTAGCGGCCTGCTCGGGTGATGTGATTTTTGAGAACATCCACACTACATTCGGACGCCGCACAGTGTGGCGCAGCAATTTGTTTGTAGCCGTTTCATCAAGGATGCTATGCTGCTCCAGAAACTCCAGCAAGTCTCTTTGCGCCTGGCGAATTGCATTTTTCTTCTCTATCTCTTTTCGTTGAGCCTCCTCGCGCTGGAACCTCTCCCGCTCCGCCTCCTCCGCACGGCGACGCTCCTCCTCCTCTCGCAACTGGCGGCGCTTCAGCTCCCGCTCTTCCTTCTCACGCTGGCGCCTCGCTTCATCCTCATCGCGTTTACGGCGCAGTCGCGGGTCATTTTTCCGTGCCCGCTCCACAAGCGTTCGCAGGCGTTGCTGCTCCTCCCGGCGAAGGTGATTCAGCTGACGCTCGTTTTCGCGCGCGTAGTAACGCTTCTCCTCGCGGCACATGCTATCATCGATCTCGTCAAGCTCCACCAGGTGCGAGAAGTCGCGCCAGGACTGAAAGCGCCCCCAGCGATCGTAAAACCGGTACACCGCCTTTAGGCCCGTACTGTCATCGCCAAGCGAGGGCAGATCACTCTCGCTGCTCCACTTCTTATTGCGCTCAAACACGGGTCCAAAGAGGGCGTAAAAGTCCGCTTCTGCCGGCAGCGTCTCGCCGGGAATGGAGTCGTCAAAGGGGCGAGAAGAGTCATACGCCAGGCGGGTTTCGGTGTCTCCGAGGAGGTCAAAGGCGCGCTGCACCCTCTTGAAGGCTTCATCGGAATGATTCTTCTGCTTGTCCGGGTGCGTCTCCAGACAGCAACGGCGATACGCCGTGCGAATCTGCTCCTCCGTTGCCCGTTCCCCCTGACTCAGCTGGAGCACCTCGTACCAGTCGACACGCAGGTCCTCGTCCGTCAATTTAACAAACTTTTTCCGACGAAAAGTTTGCTGCCGCCGTTCCTCACCGTTCCCGCCGTCGCCGTCGCCGTCGTCATCGCTGTCGTCCACGTCGGAGCCACTCGTCGCGTGAGCGGCCTCGTGACGCCGTGCATGGCGCAGCTGCTTCTCCACCCACACCCGCGCACTCATCCGTGCCTGCTGCTGCAGGGCCAACCCCCGCGGAAGCACCCGCACCCTGGTTGCGAGGTCGCAGAGAAGGTTGGGATCCACCTGAAAGATAACCTCTTCGGCGCCATTCTCCAGCTGTGGAAGCTCAAGCCCGGATAAGACCATCATTTTTTCCCAATAGAAATACGAGACAACGAATATAAGCTAATATGTACCTACGCTCCACACTCTTTGTGTTCCCTGCCAAGCGTGAGGGGAGGGGCAGTAGGCGCCAAGGAGCAAGCAAACAAAACACATATAACAAAGAAACAATGAAGCGTGGAAGCGACCCGCGATAAAAATGGTAAATGCGCGGTCAAGAGCAACGCAAAGAGCGAGTATATATATATATATATATATATATATATATATATATACG